GTGCAGAGAGCTTCAAGCTCTGGTGGAGACAGAGGGTGGATTGTGCCAATGGGCAGAGAAGCTCCTTCCTCAAGGTCAATCTTGAGATTGAATGAGCAGTGTGGTGGAAGTTCAGTAGCCTTGTCTTTACTAAAGATGTCAGCAAACTTGTGATACTCAGGAGGGACCAAGGAGAGGTCAGGAGGCAGAGAGGAAGTGGAGGATGCATGGAGCTTCACATCATCAGTGGAGAGCTGTAAGCAGAACTGTCTAGAGCCAGGGAGAGCACAGGCTCTGACATATGCAGCAGCATTGGATGAGTGAGATGAGCGGAGTGGAGAGTGGCAAGTCTGTCAGAGGTGCAGATGGAACTGCAGATGGAGTGGGGAGTGTCAGATCCAGAGCAGGGGTCACAGCAGAAGGTGATGAAGGCACCTGGGGTGTCAGCATTCCCTGTAATGATGATTTGAATGATATACTGCCCAGTACCCAGTCAATTGACAGATTGAAGTGGGTGAGCCAGTTGTGTCCTAATACCAGCAAACATGAAGAATCCAATGGAGTAACATAAAATGAAACAGAGTTGACATCACCAGAAGGAAAGCAGAGGGAAAGATCTACCTCTTGGGAAATGACAGCATTTGTACTACCATCAAACAAGCAGAGCAGAATTGGCAGAGAAACAGAGGAAACAGGAATAGCATATTTTTTGATTATGGATGGGTCTACAAAACAATGAGAAGAGCCAGAGTCAATCAATGCAGAAACAGCATCAACAGAGTAATCAAGAAGAGTTACAGACAGAAGTAAAGAATTGGGACTAGAGAGAGCAGATGTGTTGAGTCAGATGTCCAGTTGTGCACAGTTGGGATCAACACTTCCTCCAGGCTGTGTGAGCTCCCTGGAGGAGTGGACTAATTTTTTGGCTCTGCCTTCTCCATGGGCAGAGGAGGTGGAGTTCCAGCTGTAGCTGCATGGGCTTTGGCTACATGAGAGGTAGACTTGGGACAGTCCTTAGTGGAGTGGCCAGCCTCACCACAGAAGAGGCAGAGGTTGTTCTTCATCCTATGCTGGCATTCAGTGGAGGTGAGTTTGCCATCCTTGCCCAGAAGATGGGCAATATTGGACTTGGATGTGTCAGACTTGGGCAGATCTTTCTGCTTGCCCTTGCCCTTGGTGTCAGACCTCAGAGCAGAGGTGGAGGATGACAATTTAGACTTGTTGTTGGAGTTGGAAGGCTGCAATTTGTCAGTGGCAGACTTGGTGGTGCATGAGATCTCTGCTTTATGCTCCCAGTAGCATGCATCAACAGTCTGAGCAAGTTCATGGAGTTGTGCAAGGGTAGAAGGTTTTCCTATGCAAGTGATCTCATCCTTGATACAGCCTGGAAGTCTGCTATAAAAGCGGTGGTGGAGTGCACTGACACCATAGTCCTTGACCTGTGAAGCCCAGCAATTGAACTCCACAACATATTTGGTAATTTGAGAGCCATCCTTCATAGTAAGGTTCTTGAGTTGTTGGATGGCATCCACTATGGCATTATGCAGACCGAAATTGGTTGTGAGCTCTTGTAAGAACTCATGATAGTCATCCATCCAGAGCAGGCAGTCATAATTGTCAGGGTTTAGTAGGTCTGGCTTGAACCAAGCCAGGGCCATACCCTTAAGATAAGATTGAGCAAAGGTAACCTTCACTCTGTCAGAGCAGAATGCATGGGGGTGGTCCTGGAAGTTCAGCTTGCATTGTACAAGGAACTTGTGGAGTTTCTTAGGGTCAGAGCCATCAAAAGTGTCAGGCTCATGGACTTTGGTTTTCAGAGTGGAGTCCCCTGGTGTGCAAACTAGACTGTGTGAGTGCATGGACAGCTCTAGCAAGAGCCACGAGGGGATCCTCCAGCAGCTCAGCTGGGTCTTTGGGGATATCCCCATTACTGCTGCCCCCACTGTCAGGATCACCATCAGGGTCATCAGGGTTGGGTCCATCATCTTGGTTTCGAGGAGACAGAGTATGGAAAGTAGTTGGGTGGAGGTCAGAGCAACCAGCTTGCGAAAGTGCTTTTGCCTTCAGTGTGAGAACAGCATTAAGCAGAGAATGATTGGAACTGTTTGATGATGGAAGGGAGTCAATGTGGATTAGCTAGTGCAACAGCGAGGTGCTCAGCAACCTCTCTCTGGGATTGAGCTCAAGTTCTCATAATGGTGTAAGTTTTTTGGAAGACAGAAAATGAGATCATACAAGTGCAAGTACAAATATACTGTCAAGTCCAGGGCCTACTCTGACCAACTCCAATGCTGGATGAGGTCTGGGGAGAGGTTTGGAAGCAAGTCTAATGGATAGAGCAGAACTCCAACTGGCAGAGTGTTGGCAGGAATGAAATCTGCCAAGGTAAGGGTGGAGCAAAGTGATGGCATCTGGGTTTAGCTTGTGTGCTACCCCCTTGCATGATCTCAGCCCTCATATTTCAGAGGGGGAGTACAGATGGACAGTCAGAGGTAACTCCGACAGGCAGAAGACAGAGACAGAGGGAGTAGGAACTAAGTTGATATTTGTACTGAGGAATGGTGGAGTATGATACATGCTTTTTAAGGAAACAGTCCAGGCACTGGACCATACAGTGTGCATGCTGCAGAGTACCTGACTGCGAGCTGTCAGGGAGGAGTCCAAAGGTAGTCACATGACTCCTCAGAGAATGGTCCATTTGGTCCAGTAGGAGAGGAGTACAAGTCCAACAGCAGTCAGAGCAGAGATGGTTCATAACCAACAGAAGTTGGGCATAGTTGGTGCAGAGTGAGTGAATGACCAGTGGAAGAGGGTGCAGAGTGAGTAAGGACCTAGAGTGAACACACAGTTATGACAGGGTGCTGGGGATGCCACATCCAATCAATGTGGATGGGTGGATGGCTGGCAATACTCTGATTAATGCCAAATACATCCAGAGTGCAGCTTGTGAGATCTGGGTCACTCAAATCATCTCTGATTCATGCCAGCATGGTGTCCATTGAAAGCCACTGTTCAGTGGGTGCCAGGGATACCACATCCATTAGTGACAGGCCTGTCTTTATGTTTCAACAGGGTACATCTTACTGGGGCCAGGCCCACCCATATGCTGTGACAATATAAATAATACTACTGAAGGGCCTGTCCATATGTTGTGATGCTATGCATAAGATTACTGATGGGCCCATCTTTATGTTTTGTCAGAGGTACATCTTACTGTGGACAGGCCTGTCCATATGTTGCAACAATATAAATAATATTACTGAAGGGCCCATCCATATTTTGTGACTCTATTCAATGAGACTAGTGACAGGCCCATCTTTATGTTTTGACAGGGTACATCTTACTGGGGCCAGGCCTGCCCATATGTTGTGACAATATAAATAATACTACTGAAGGGCCCAACCTTATGTTGTGACTCTATTAAATGATATCAGTGATGGGCCCATCTTTATGTTTCAACAGCAGTACATCTTACTATTGACAGGCCCATCCTTATGTTGTGACCCTCTCCATGTTATGATAGGTGGGCCTGCCTTGACATCATGACAGGGGTGTAACCTACCAGGATGGGCCCATCCATGTCTTACAGCAGCTCAGTATTCTTAATTGGTCACAGGCCCATCTGAATGTTTCAACATCCTTTACCCACCATGGGCCCTCCCATATGTTGTGGTAATGCACTTATGGGCCCATACATATGTTGCTCTCACTTTAGTCTCTTGGGCCTGTCCATGTGTACTGGCTAATCTATTTAGGCAGGCCCGTCTCAGGGTCTATATAAGTGTTGGTATTTTGGCACACAGGCTGCCCATCTGTTGTGACTAAATGGACTACATGGGGTCGCCCTCTCCTTCTTGGAGTTTATGGATGAAGTTCATATGTATTGGCTTCCCAGTGACTGGGTGGAAGCTATCCAACAGAAAATGCTCTCATTGATGCAGGGTAATAAAGCCTTCCACTTGTGGGCTGTTGAGGTGGAGAGTCTGAATGTTCTGTTACAGGGTAGCAAGTTCCACCTCACTGAAGACCATCTTTGCTGGAACAGTGTGGAACCATGTTCCTGCATCCTATCATGTCCCATTCCTGTACAGTGTTGTTCTGACCTTCATCTCTACCACCACTGTAGGAAGAGGGATTTAAGAGGGAGAGAGGGGAATGACAAGATCTGAGGAGAGAGAGTAGGACAAAAGGGGCTTCTATCGCCTGGGACTGGATCCTGGTAGTTGTCTGAAGGCTTCTATGGCTGTCTTGGTGCAGGGAACAACCTGCTCAAGCTTGTCTCTTGTCTGTGGTAACTCATCTCTTCTTAAAAAAAACTAACTACATTGAGTACTGGGTAGGGCTGACTAAGCAACAAAAAAGTGAAATTCTAAGTACCACTAACAGAAAAACACAGAATGAAAACCAAATTAAGCCATACCCCTGTCACAACATAAGGATGGGCCTGTCAATAGTAAGATGTACTGCTGTTGAAACATAAAGATGGGCCCATCACTAATATCATTTAATAGAGTCACAACATAAGGTTGGGCCCTTCAGTAGTATTATTTATATTGTCACAACATATGGGCAGGCCTGGCCCCAGTAAGATGTACCCTGTCAAAACATAAAGATGGGCCTGTCACTAGTCTCATTGAATAGAGTCACAACATATGGATGGGCCCTTCAGTAATATTATTTATATTGTTGCAACATATGGACAGGCCTGTCCACAGTAAGAGCTACTGGACCTATCAGAACAATCCTGATATCAACATGGAGCATTCATCGTGGACTGCAATCCTCCCAAAAAGCGAGAGGCGCGACGCGGAAACGAGCGAGATACGACCACAGGACCCTGAGAATGGACCTATCCACAAAATCGCAAATATCTCCTGAACGGATGGGCGCATGCAAACGGGCTTGGTACGGACAGAGAGCTGACGTCGAGTAGAATAAGCATGCCAAAAAGCGAGAGAAACGGCGCGAAAACGAGCGAGATACGCGCTGACAACCGACGAGTGGTGTCGACGGCACACCTTGTCAGAACTGTATCCGCGGATGCGAGGCGTCGTGTAGAGTGCGGGAAAGGTGCCAGGTGCGATGCTAAACGGGGTTCCGTGGGGAACTCGAGCCTGTGGGGGGGGGGGGGGAAAGATGAAGGGCGAAACAAGAAAATTCAAACATATCTAATGTACCAAAAATTCCGCATTACGATGTAGGTAGATCCATACCAGATACTGTAAGATCCATAAGCAAAAGAATTAAAAAACAACATAATAGAATTCGTGCGACATGCAGCGTTAACGCGCTCTGCAAGAGCGCCGGGGCGTGCGACTGCGGCTGCGTGACCGCTTCGGTTTGGAACGGATGTATGAATACGCCTTCCTCGAACGTGAACGAGAGCGCGAGTGCAAGGACGACGACGACAATGACGAGGAAGAAGGGAGTGAGCTATTGGTCGAATATGAATATGAGCGCCTTCGAGTGTGATAACGCATCGAGCTGCGGGCATATGACTGGACTGGTATAAAATCATCTTTCGAATGTGTGTACGAACCCGTTCGAGTCTGCGAGCGCGAGTGTGAACGAGGAGGCGAGGGCGATTGGCCTCGGCCACGTGGCCACCTCGACTGTGGCTGCGCGTGCGGTGAGCTACGAGAGCGCTCGGCTGACGAGCGACGAGATGGAATGGCTGGTGGGTTGGGTACTGCTGGCTCGGGCTGGACAGTAGGTAGGGACTGAGGATACATGATGCTCGTCTGAGCGGGTATGCGCGATGGTGTGTCGAACACACTTCGAGAGGGTGCGGCTGTGGGTGAATGCGAGCGAGCGGGCAATGAGCCCCTACGAGTCTCGAGCTGGCTTGTCAATGAAGACCAGTTGTCGAGACGGTCTCGTAGAGTCCGTCCGGCAACTTCACGCGCGATTTCCTGTCCTGTAGGTAGAACAACGCGGCCGTCGACAAGTAGACACTTTCCCGAAGCTAAATACGACTTGAATGAATGACAACCTGCCCGAATATGACCCGAAAGTCCGCAGAAGAAGCAGAACGAATATGAACGACGGGGGGAACGATTGTCTGAGGCATGTGGTGGCTGCGCGCGCGAACTGTCGACCTTGCGGCTCTTCCAGAGGCCATCGCCGAGTGCAAGAACCCGTCCTGCGGCAGCTATGAGACTAGGTACAGTAAAGGTTTGAGCTGGTGGGTCATGAAACTCAAGAAGCTCTTGTCTGAACTCGGGCAGGAATCCATAAAAGAAGCTGGATGTTAGGTGGGGTAGTGGCCCATGGTCCTTCTCAAGAGACAATGATAAGCAACGAAAAATGCGATAATATTCGCCCAGGATGATGTCGAGATGGTGTCTGAGCTTGCGAGCGCCTTGCGAAGCTTGTAGAACTTGTTTCGAGTGATTTCCTGTAATTCTGGATACTACTGAGTGATTTCTGAAGTAAAACGAGCCCAATCTCCTTGACTACTACTGACGAAGTGGGACCAGAGGTCCGCCGACTCGAAAGGTGCATACTTGAGAGCAAATCTGATTCGCTCGAGTCCATCTGAGAGCTCGAATCCATCACAGAAGTCAATTATGTCATTGAAATAGGACTGTAAGTCCTCAGGGTGCCCAGAGAAGCTTGGTGCTTCAGGCAAGCCTTGGCACAGAATTTTGAGGCCAAGCATGAAGTTTGTGGGTAATATGAGTGTGAGTGCTTGATATGTGAGTGTGCTGCAGGATTGTCAAGTCTATAGGGAGGAATATACTCAGACTTCAAGTTGGTTGAAGCTGAGGTGCAGTAAGGAAAAAAATAAACTGCTAAGTGTCCGCTTTTGGATTACATAATGCTGTGCTCGGTGAACCACAACTAAGGTAAAAGTGATAAACTCCAACAGGTACTAACCTGGTCTGGGCTCACTGGCATGAGCCCAGCATGTGTCAGCAATTGCCAGTGGGTCAGAAGGCATTCCACTGTAATTCTATTGGGTTGGTATAAATGCTGGGCTAATTCCAGTAAGCTGGGACAAATGCCAGGATAATGCCAATAAGCCAGCAAACATACCAGTCTTATGCTAGTGGGCTGGCACAGATGCTAAGGTGGTGATGGTCGGTTGGCATGGATGCTGAGCTAATTCCAGTTGGCCAGTATGGATGACAGCCACCACACTATTTCCAGTGGGTCAGAAGGCATACCAATGTACATCCATTGGGCTGGCATGAGTTATGGCCACTTCTAGTATGCTGGGACACATACTGGCCTTATGCAGGTGGGCCATGATGGGTGCCTGGATTATGGCAGGTAGTTGGAATATATGGCTAGCCAGCTTTCATGCTGGTATTAGTAAGCCAGGGACCCATACTGGTGTAGTGCAAATATGCCAGAATAGAGGATAAGCTGGTGGTGGTTTGTGGGCATGGATGCTCATCTAATTCCAGGTGGGGTGGATGGATCACAGCCTCCAGGATATTTCCAGTGGTTCAGAAAGCACACTAGTGGGATTCTATTGGGCTGGTATGACTTCCTGACATTTCCAGTTAGCTGGGTCAGATCCCATGTTATTGCCAGTGAGCTGGGATATCTACTGGGCTGAATATAGGGGACTGGCAGGGGGCCAAGGCCAGTGACAGTTGGTTGGCATCAATTCCTAACTAACTCCAGTTGGCTGGGATGGATCACAAACTCCAGGCTATTTACAGTGGTTCAGAAGGCATTCCAGTGGGACAGTATTGGGCTGGTATATGTTCCAGCCAAATCCAGTCAGCCAGGTTAAATTCCCAGTTGATGACCATGACCCAGGACACCTACCAGCCACAATATAGTGGACTGGCACAGGTCCAGGGCTGGTGGCAGTTGTTTGGCATCAATTCTGAACCAACTCCAGTTGGCCAGGATGGATGACACCCTCTGGGCTATTTACAGTGGTTCAGAAGGCACTCCAGTGAGATTCTATTGGGCTGGTATATGTTCCAGCCAAGTCCAGTCAGCCAGGCCAAATTCCCAGTTGATGACCATAACCCAGGACACATACCAGCCTTATGATAGGGGACTGGGACAGATGCCCAGCCTATGGTAGTTGATTGGTATGGATGCCCAGTGAAGGCCACTTAATGTTACCAGTGTAGATGATGGGCTAGTCTTTTGGCATCCCCTGGTGAATGGATGAGCCATACAAATAGTGTCCCATATATATTGGCTTGGCTGGGAAGCTATTGTCTATGGGGCTTATATATCAGTGGCCCATGTAATAAGGCTCATCTGGACCTGCAGTGTTCCATTTGGAACAGTAGGAGCATATTTCAGTGTGCCATGTGCATTGGCCTCAGCCCAAATAGGAGTGCCCATGTACTATGGAGGGCTTATAGTCCATTGTACCATGTCCTTGGGGAGGGCCCAGATATTATGATCCTGTAGGACAGGCTGGACAAATACTCCAGTGTTTCATGGTGTATGGGAGGCCCACAATATGGTGTCCCATCTGTCTCGAATCAGCCCATGTATTATGATCACCAATCCATGTGGTCTGGCACATATGCCATGGTCTCATGCACAACAAGCAAGCCAATCTCCCATTGTGCTGTCTGACTGGATTTGGCTTGAGTTGAAGTGTTCCACCAATTATGGGCCAGCCATAGTCAATATTTGGGGGAGGTATATGGAAAATAACTTGGCTTGGGATGGCATATAATATCTATAGAACTACCTTTACATGGACCCCCTATTGGATAAGTATAGGTTATATGGAATGTCCCACTGGACCTGCAGGCATCAACCAAGTCCAGACATTCTGAACTCTCATCCAATCCCCATGGGGTATCCCTATCCAATTGTGTATGTTGTCCCTCATGTAGTAGGCAAAGCAACATCAGTTCCCACCCACAGAACTAACCCCATGTTGAAGAAGCCTTCCAGAAAATGCAACTACAGTGCTGGGGTTGTAAGGAACTGAAGGCTGAGTGTGGGGATATCCAATACACAATCTTCATAATTGCCAACCATGACCAGCATGTCATACCAATTGGACCATGAGTGTGGGTCCTGGTGAAAGGGTGTGGTCTGGTTAGAGATTATGGAGACATTAGTAAAAACTGATGGCCAGTGCTGCAAGGCATCATGCATATCTTGGTTATGCTGACTCAACCATGTGTCCAATGACTGCATGGCTTGCCTTCCAGTGTCATACAGGCCTGGGTGCATAATTGAAAGCACACCAGAGAGGATGGCAGCTGGGAGGTAAGACTGCTGGGATCATTCATGACCAGCATCCATCTGTAGGTCAGTGGAAACTGATGGGGAAAAGTTCATGGTCTGGATGCCACTTGAGAGACATACCCCTGAGGTAATATAACCATACCATATGCCCCTGTTGGTGCCTGGCCAGGGAAAACTCCAGGCACCCCAGTGACCATGAAGCATGATTGAAATATTCAGCATTTTTCCACCAGGAGCCACTTGTCATACTCTTGGACATTGTGTGGTGAAGGGGGTCCAGAGTGGCAAGCATGTGTGTCTGCAGGGATGCCTGAATAATATAGAGTGTAAAGGAAATGTTCAAACTGACTTGCAAATCATTGGTGATGGCACCAGGAAGGTACCACAATGCAATGGTATGTTGACTTGATAAACTGTGATAATTCAGTCAGTATTTCACACAAGCCCAATTGATCTGCCTACATTCCAACATCCCTGTCATTCATGGCAGAATCCTGGGGAAGGTCCATGGTCCAAAACCAGGCCAGAGTGTTGTTGCAATGACCTCTTGCATTTGGGTCTGCAATTGTGGCACTCACAGTCAGGTCTGCCCTATTCAATTCTTGGTATTTGCCAAGAATGTCCTCCCCAGCCCCCAGTGCAATGAGTTACTTTCAGCACTGGCAATAGATGGCAGCATGCTGCTGAACCATTGCCTCTGCATTGGATATCTGCCCCCATGCCCAGGTTATCATTTTGTAGTTCCCTCCTTTCCAGACATCTGTATGAAATATCATGGCCTTGTCCATGAGGGCCAGATGCACAATTCATGCAATCCATCATTTGCCTGGCCCTGTCTCAGATGTATTCCCACTTCCACAAGACTGCCAAGGCCAATGTCATGGAAATACTGTACCCTGATATATGATAGCAGTGGAACATCACTGACCTCCTGGTGACCAGGACAATCAGGGAGGTAATGGATCATCAGTTTTGTCATTACTGTCCCTGTCAAATGGGGCTATACTTCTGGGCCTTTGCCTGGGGTTAACTTGCCAGTCATTTCCTGATTGAACTGGGCTGCTCCATGTACTAGCGCATCAATCTGTGATTGCAACCAGTCTTGCCAGCACAAAATTGACAACCAGTCTGCCTCTGTTGCCCTGGTGTCCATCTGTTGTGTATCCATAGCAAGCACTATTTGAGCCTGCTCAATCCTTTAATGCCCATGCAATCCAAGTAGCTGAACCACATGAGCTGCTTGAATGAATGGTTGTTATGGATTAGGTCAATCTCAATGGCTTTCATGGTGGGTGCTACCATGATGTAATGTAAGTTATGGGACAGATGATACAGTTGGCCCCCTTACCCTTCTCCAGCTGGACTTCATATATGTCCATGGCCTGCAGAGTATTCTGTTGGAGATATATTCTCCCCTGTGTTCTGCTCACTTTGGTGCAATGTTTGGGTGCTTACATAATCACATTAGAGCGCACATTTTACAGTAGTTTATTCACTGTTCCCTCAGTAGCTTGTTGCACTACTGAGGGTAAGCTCACTTTCACTACCAGTATTATACTTACTGATGTCCTGTAGATACCTACAGGTTGGTCTAATACATCAGTAGCTTGTTGCACTACTGAGGATACCTACAGCATCCTTCAAAATATTCTGCCAGCATGACTGTGCCACAAGTTCTTGTTCCACCCATAACTGAAACAAGCCATCTGGTACCTTGCTATCCAACTCATTGAATTTATCTTGGATTGTTGCTAATGACTGCTTGGCAACCTTGAACTTCCATTTCAATGCTGATGCTATGTGCAAGTAATCAAGCAATGGTCAACCAGGTACTGTGATGACATATGCATCTGTATCATTTTGATGAAGTTACTATCATTCATTTGGAAGTCCAGCAACTCCTGATGGTGTGCTGTTGCCATTCCCTGGGCTGATGGTGAGATTATGTTGAGAGAAGACCAGAGGGTCTCCATGATTTCACCATCCACCCAGCCAGCACCTGGAATAAAGTTTGGAGCATATCTGGCAAAGCACTCTGTCTGATGGCCATGGACATGCCATAGTCCAATGCTGGGCTGAATCTGTAATCTGGAAGGCAGAGAGAGATATCTATTTTCCTCAAGCTGGTGGGCCAAGTTCTTGCTATACTGACAATTGATGTCATAAAAGGTTATGACTGGTGGCTGGGGGTCCAATCCATGGTGCATGGCATGGACCAGAGCATAATCCATATTGACCTGCCTGCTATATTGTTAGTCATGACTGGGGACTATGAATTGGTGTGTACTGCTCTCCCTTCTGAAAGTTGACCATTGCATGAGGTACAAAACAGCCATGCCTCACACAGGCACATCCACCAATCCTGGTCGATTCCAACTTATTCCTTTGTGCATTTGCTTGATTAACAGCCCAGTGGTTATTGCAGTCAGATTTCTGCATGATGCAATCAGTCCAGTGCCTTTGGAGAGATCATGGTGCACCAACTTCTATTTGATTTATGGTCCTGGTCAAATATTCCTTGTATGGAGCTGATGTGACCATGAAGCCATATCCATCCATGAGCCAGACCTCTTTGGCAGCATTCTTGGGCAGCATATGCTTGGCCTTGAAGTTGCCATCCATCACAAAGGTCCTAGCAAACTGCCAGCTACACAGGTCAGGCTAACAATGCCTTTGCAATAATGAATAGAATATGGACTCAGAGAGATTGATATCCTGATCCAGTACATTGATTCCCTGGCTGGGGACAGGCAGGGCAGAAGAGGACAAGTTCACCAGCCCAGGGATCAGGCAACTGTTGATGGAATCCCTGCCATTTCAACAACTTTAGGAGCGTCCACATTCTTGACACCTTGAGCAATTTCCTATACCTATTCTTTGAATGGCATGAGCAATGTGGCATATGGTAGGCCAGGGGTGATCGCACTCACCAGCACTAGGTGAGGAAACATGCTTGAGGTGACTCTCTGAAGTTTGCTATAATAGTTCATGGCAGGGGTTCCACATTCAGCATTGTCCCTGGTGAAGTCATCCAGCACCTGGAAAGTGAAAGCTGTCCTTGGTGCCTTAGTTGTAGCTGGGAATAGGCCAGCCATGGTAAGCTGAAGATGTCAATCCTCAGACCCAGGGCAGTTGCAATACTGCACATTGCAAAAGTGCATGCTGCCAGTGTCCACAACTGTCAGATAGTTTCTATCATCTGGTGGGTTGAGATGTGCTGGTTGTTGACTCTCTTCCATGTCCTCCCACTCTTCATCTACATGGCTGGAAGCATCCTCCCAAGAACCTTCTCCTGCCAGGCATGGTGCTCTGGCATGGCCCAAGTGTAGCACCAAACCAACCTACAATATCAGTCATCACAGATGATGGGTTGAAACCAGAACTTACCAGCCATAGAGTGAAGTCTTCAAAGAATCTTCCATTCCATTTTTGTACCTGATGGAATGGTCTGAGTTTGTGTTGCTCGATGCAACATGTTTTACAAGACAATGGGCAATGAGCACAGTCCATGCATCTATATGGTGCCCCTTCTGCTTTACACACAAAACAAGCCATGACATTGGGCAGGGCCTCCATGTCCAGGAGCACAGACAGGTATCTACTCTTATAGGGCAGCCACTCTTCCAGATAACTGTTCTGTAATGTAAGGCACACATTGCCAACACCAGGATGTTTGATAATGTACACCTGGCTTTTTGGAATTCTTGATGTCCTCAGTGGTGATGCATCATCCATGTAGCAATATAGGTCAGCATCATTACCCTGGACTAAATTGGGTTCCTGGATGCTTGAAGATCCTGCCCTAGTAGGTGATTCGTTGCTTTGGCCAGTTGCATATCTTGCCTTCTTTCTTGGAGTAAACTTGTCCATCTTTTCTTTGGATCCCCTGGTTGTTTTCACCTTTTTCCAAGTGACATGGGTTACCAGGGTGGCCACTGCAGCTTGGGTGATTTGTGACTTGCCCATGTCTAGTATCAAGTTTTTGCAGGATGTCTGTAGGCCTCAGCCATACATGCCTCATTGTAATGCCTGGCATGACTATGATTTGAGTTGGATCTTGGAATCAATGTCAGAAGATCCAATCAGGATCAAACTATACTTTATCTATATATAGTAGCAGACTGGATGATAGATGAATCAGCTTACCATGTTTGGCCATGGTACCAATCAACTGGAACAAGACCATACTAACAATGGGTATGTATCATGACTGGAACATTACTCAGCCCCTGGAACTTTATTCAAGAATGGGTGACAGTAACTATGAGGAATGGACTCCAAATTTTCTTTCAACAGAGGGTAACATTACCTGCAACTAACCAGCCCCAACACCTTCTCCAACATTCAGAATGGCCAGCAGTGATCACAGTACTAATTGTGTTAATACCTCAGATGAGAAGAGGACTTCTCCTCCAATGAGGAATCTAGCTTGGATAGCACAGAGACAACAAAATCTGTGCCAGGAAAGCTGAGACCAGACAAACTTCAAATCCTCCAAGATGGTCTAAATGATTGGAAGGAAGCTGACACAAACAAAAGGGCCTCACTGATGGAGGGAAAAAGGTGTGATGAAGACCTCTGATATGTGCAGAGGGAAGCTCAGTAATGTGAGTATCCTGTTCCCTCCCCAGTGCCTGTGTAGCCTCATTGATCATTATTGGTACAGCTCAAATCCATACTGAGGGATATCAACTTATGGCAAGGTTGTTCTGGAAAGCATTGGGATAATGAAAATGGGGTGAATATTATCTCTGAGAGTGAGGAAAGCAACTTCAAGGAGTGGTTAGCAGTATGTGTCCATCATCTTGGGTCCATCGCTTGACATTGATAACATCCATCAACAGGGCCAACCCAGGAATGCTATGTGCCAGTTTAAAAACATTGGTTGGCCCCTGCTTATGGCGATGGAGTCGCTGTTTCCAAATGACCAAGCCCATGGTATGTGTGCCTACCATCCTACAACTTCTGTGGCATTTGTATCCAGTGCCAGTGGTCCTGGCCTCTCCATAAACCCATCTAGCCATACCTCCAGTGATCCGGTGATGACCCCATCCACATCCTCTGCCACTTTACAGTTTGTTACTCCTCAGGTTGGAAGCTCTGCCAGCATCATTGAAGATGATGCAATCAATCAAATGTCCATTGACAAGGTAGCTCCTGCTAACAGAATGAACATGCAGTCCCAGCTATTTTCAATGCAATTTAATGCACCCATGCTGACTCTCGCTTCCCCTACAACATTACTTAGCTCATATCCCCCCTCAACTACCAGCTCTATGCCATCAAGTAGGAAGCATACACATGCAGATGCCAACCCTGCTTCACCCTCTGCTGAAATTCCATCGGCACTGTCACACACCAAAGGTGTTTGGTGAGGTGGACATGGATGTAGCTGATGAATGGAGGTGAAGACCATAGCCCTCATGCAAAGAAGGACAGCCAGCAATGTCAGCAGTCATCCCTTGCACAAGAACAGGTTGTCAATGCCAAAGAACAAGGAGGAGGCAAGTTAAGTGCCGGTAAAATTCTTAAGCGCCCGTGTACAGCATTCTGGTTTTCAACATATCTCCACCAGTTCTACAGACACCGAAACCATTCCCACACTCGCTTGTAGTGCTCAGCCACGCAATCCTACCTTCCAAGATTGGAAAGGATTTGTGCACTCCACACGTTTCTACAGCACTCCCTCCAAAAGATGCTCATTTCGCTAATTCTTCTGATATGGCTGCCTCCACATCGGTCGTTTCACTTGTCCCCTTTGCTAGGGACCATGGCTACATATATCTACCAGGAGTTCCTACCAGCTTCTGTCCTGAAGTGTCCTGGTACATCCCACCCTCATCTGCCCCCTCTCAGCCCATCCAGCTTGGACAGCATGTTCTTTTTGTCAGTATGACCTCCAGGAGGACATTCTTTGGTTGCCTCAGGTCTGTCATTTGCTTGGAAAGGTCTTATGTGGTTGTTTCAGTCTCTCCAGTCCAAGAAGCATATGGATCCTTCCTCCCTGCCCCCTGCAACGTCTTCATACCAGTCTTGTCTGTCATTCTTCCAAAATTGCGACAGCTACAGTATAATCTACTGTTGTCCACTCTCCCTGATTGCATCCATGACAAGTATGATGCACATCTTGCCTCCTTGTTGCAAGATACAGCAGAAGATGCTCCCCCTTCATCCTCTCTTCCAACAGAGCCTCATTCATGAAGTTTTTATTTCCTTCACTGAGAGGATGGTTTGGGGGGGAAAGTTGTGATCCCCTATGCTCCTGTCACCCCACAGACCCCCAAAGCTTGACCCCTGTTGACATCTGACTCACCCTGTCCACTTTTGGATGTACTATATCGGCATCAGATCAGCGCTGCCTCTCTGTCATCCCACTTTGGCCTAGAAGCGATCTCTTCAAGATGTGACATGCACAGCCTCCCCCTAATGCGATTCCAGTGCACTTTCCCAGTTCCTGATGTTGCTTGACTCATACTGTGACATTCTGACTGTCTTTGACTCACCTATTGCCAATACTTACCAATCTTTTGACTTTGCTTACTGATTCTTCGCTTTTTGGCTTACTTATCCTTACCAATGCCTACCAATGCTTTCCAAGAAGATTACCCATCGCTTACATTCCTTACTCATCAGTTACCAATCACTTACCAAGTGTTTGCACCTTGTTTTCCATAGGCAATGCCCCTGTACTGTATATAAGTCACTGTACTTAGGTAGCAAAAAAAAGAAGACATCAGAGAGCCCCTCTTGCTCACAATTTATCATCTCTCAGTAAATCATTCATCAGCTTCGATAGTTGAGACTTTATTAAGGGTCTAGCTATCATCTACTTCACTTATCATCATCTATCATCCATATACTTTGCTCCAAGCCCTCCCTGAGCTCAGTACAGCTTAGGACATCAAATTAAGTCACCATCCATCCTTCTGTAGGCTGACAGCAGTCTACCCTGTCACTTTCTATCACATTCTTGCTCCCTCTTTGTCAGGAGCACCCCCAACCCTCAGCACTCATCTTTGAGTGTTGTCGCTCGCAAAAACCCTCCCAAAGAACAGGTTCTACCATCTAGGTACCGCATAGGCACACCACCACTCACTTTCATTGTCTTTTGTGTTGGTTTTGGTTGGTTTTCACCACTGAACCACACTTTGACTCACAGCGCAAGCTGTGCTCCAGTCGCTCTCTATCAAGGATGATGCAGAATGCTCTTCAAAGAAGTTGAAGAAGAGCAAAGAAACGTCCACACCTGCTTTACTTGTCAGTGTACAGGGTTCCCTTTCATACCTTGGGTCTGTTATCAGTTCATCGTCTGCAGTTGCTGCACAGCAAAGGCATACTGAGTGTATGCACACCACCATGGAGATGCTCGCATGGTGAGATGACAACCTTCCCCTGTTAGCTAAGATGGCCCTGATGGAAGTGTTCTGTATGGATGGGGGGGCAATCGATTTATACCTCATGTTGGATGATAAAACCCTTTGTAGAAACTGGATTCAGACTTGTCTTTGTAACCAGAAACTCATTCCAGATGACCTTGTGCTGTAGTACCTCCATCATGTTTGTATCCCTGCTCACAATTTATCTGACCCGGTGTTTTGTTATGCAAAGAATGATCCAGAGATATTCATTTAGAAAGTGAGAAAAGTGTACATAAAACAATCTCTATGATTGAGTTTGCCCTCACTTCTGCAGATACTCCTGGTAGTTGTGCCACATTGCCTCAGCAATAGAATCACACAACGCCCTGGCTGATAATTCTTGAGGGTCATCGTCTCCCTTGTCATCCCCTGATAGCACGCTTTCTTCTTGCTCGATGTCGCCAACTTCCCCAGTACCCCCATCACCTCCACTATCCCCATCCAGCATTTCTCCATCAGCGTCTGGATCCCATTTGTGCAACATAATTAAATTGTGGATAATGCATAGGGCGACAGGAATGAGTGCCTGGATCTTGATAGGATATTCTGGAGGGAGAAGAAGAATTTGGAAATGATGCTTGATGACACCAAAGATTTGTTCGACAACATTCCGTGCAGACAAGTGACACAAATTGAAAAGCTCTTCTTTGTTTGCAGGCCTGTAAAATAGGAAGTGAATGGATATCAATCATGCAGTAAATGCATACCTTAATGATGCTTGTCGCCACTCTGCCAGGTGATAGCGTGTGCAGTGGTAAGGTACAAGGACTCCTTCTGACAATGGGAAACCAGCATTGCCATGGAGATACTTTCCTTGGGGAATATCAAGGCTTGATGTGCATGCTTCCTGGAAAATTCGTGCATCCATAGCTGAACCCTCCCAGTCAGTCAATACATAAGTGAAATTCATGCCAAAATCACAGGCGAACATGCAATTTTGGCACATGGTGCCCTTTCGGTTGTGGTATGCAGCGCGGTCATGAAGTGGCAGGGAAGTGGGAATATGACTGCCATCAATGGCACCAATTGCATCCTTGAAGTATGGCCAGAACCTATGACTCCGCATGATTTTTGGGTGGACAAAAGTAGTTGAAGAAGTGAATGGGAGTGATACATGCTTTGAATAGAAGGGTTCAGAAGCAAAGATTGTAACCATTTTGTGGAAGTATCTAAGTACAGATGCTGTTAGAAATGGGCGCAGAAAAGCAAATCAAAATGTACCTTGAGATTGTATCATTGGATCTCTGAAAACATTCTCCAACATGTCTGATTGGTAGGCCAGTGACACACATATACAAAAAAATTGCAAACTGTTCTTCAAGAGAGGTGTGCTTCGAGGCTTGGTAGCCATGGTTGCAGAGTTTGAGAGTAATTTCTTTGAACGTGTGTACACTCATACTGAACTCACAACATATACGGTCTGGGTGACCAAGGATCAGTTCAACCAACCAAGCCTCTCCAGAAAGCGCAGATGTGTGGTATGGCCATATATTCTTAGGGATCTCTCCAGAGAGGAGATCGACCATTAGTTTGGTAAGAATCTGGACAATGACAAGGACCTTCTCTCGTATGAGCTCTTGCGATTGATGTGCTTCTTCATCATCCATGGCTGTGTGCCGAGCATTGATCAGCGATATGAGCACAATATGAGCATTGCAGCTGGCAGTCAACTTTCAATTTCCAACCATTCTTACTAATCACCCAATATATCTCTGTAGAATTGTCAAAGAGTGTAGTGAGACTATGCGAGCATACTGTACAGACTCTTTTGTTTTGGGAATTTCTTGTTTATGTGGGCAGTGGCCACACTCCAAGTGGCAGACTTGAATGACCCATTGCCCATCTTGCCAGCGATTTTCTTGTTGACAAGGAAAGTGACAAGGGCCTCTTTCTCTTCCTCAGTCTAGTTGGCTCGATCCTTATTGGAGGGCATATCTTCAGTCACTAGCTCAAGGCAAGACTCACCAACAAGCATCGCTAGTGCTGCGATAATTGGTAGGAGGGGTTCCAGGGGTTCACTATCCATCATCATCGGAGCAGTTCAAAATACAAACTCTGCAGCATGGCAGAGCAGTGGCTTGCCAGGATCACAAACAAAGTAAAATACCAAAGCTGGCAAGCAACTGTGTAGCAAGACTACACGAACATACCGTATGGACTCTAAAGGTGATCAAGCTGCAGCATAAGAAGGATATCCAGCAAGTACTTGTGAAGGCTGGAATACATCCCAGGACATTGGCTATGATCAAACACTATCAGCCAGCCATTCAGAAGGTAGTCCAGTCATTGACCAAGGCTGAATTGGACCAGGCAGCCCATTTGGCAAAAGAGTGGAATGAGAGAAAGCTGCCACCTGAAGCTCAGGCAGAGTAAGCATCCAAGTTCTCCCATGGGCAATACTAACTTAAATGCAGGGTGGCAACAAGTAAGGGCTGGAAGTATGCAAAACAGTTTGTGTATGACATGTGGAAGCAGTGTGGGATGAGAGTGGTGATCATGTCAGCATGGAAGGATAAGGAAGGCAAAGTGATGGTTGGAGTGTGAGTGGCTTCCTGACAGGCTTCACCATATCTGACCAGTGTAGGAATGACTTCAATGATGAGCTGGGCAATGGAGAGCTCTATTCAGATTGGGAAGACCTCCATGGAAAGTGGTCAGCCTATGCAAAGAAGGCATTTGGGGCCAATGGTATGGAGGATGGCAGCAGAGAGGATGAGGCCAGTCAAACCACATTAACAGCATGGAAAGGAAAAAAGCAGTCTCAATTCTCCCTGTCCACCAATGATGATGGCATGCCCATTCTTCCAAATCTCTTGGACTTACAGACACTGGAATTAAAGGACATCATGAGGGTGTTTGTAACTGGCCAGTATTGTCCATGCCAATTTCCATGGTTGATGAGTTACCAACATCTAAACACAGGCTTGGCTTGTGGGAAGACAAATGCCAGGGTACCTTGGGCTGCAATAGCTGACAACTGGACATCCTATGTGTCTTCCAAGTATCTTCCTCCCAATATCCTGTTCAAAGAGCCCACCAGGCTGACAAATCATGAACTAATCAAAACCTTGGAGTTCTGGAAGGAGCAACAGCAGGAGCACCCAGAAGATGTCTTCCAGTTCCAAAGGTGGAGATCTCAGGATGGTTCCCTGGAGGAGCCAGTCACCAAACACCAACACTGGTCAGACAAAGCCAAAGGGAAGAGACCCTGGATGGAAGGTGAGGTCATGATCAATTTGGATATACATAACTGATCACACATTAAGTAAATTCCATTGATGGCTCTGACTACAGACATCACTTGGAGGAGGAACCAGCTGCTCCCACAAAACCTTCCACCAAATGGCAATGGATAGATGGTATGTCAGAGCTGGTCAGATTCTTTACTGGTAACCCTAACATGACTTTGGAATTGTGTGCTGAAGATCATCCCACTGGAACATCCAATGCACAGGAGGACAACAGATGACAGAACCAGTCCACATCAGACTGGCACAATACAGCTACTGCATACCCCAAGCCAGCTGGTGAGTGGTATCTGGTGACAATGAATATTGCTGATAGAATTGTATCAGACAATCATGCCAATAATGGTGGTGATTCAACTGCAAGGGAGCCCAAGCCCAAGCCAAGAATCAGATCCAATGGTTGGTTTCCATGCACACTTGGTTAATCCTCTTATTACAGCATTCTACAGCAGCCCAGAATGATAAGACAGTCATATCACCTAATGATCATAGGTATACATCCATAACACAATTATACACACTTATCTATGTCAGGAGTTGATCCGGTGGGTAGGAATTTGAATGCCAGGCCTAGATGCCATGCAATGGACAGGGAAGATGGACTGTTGGATCAAGCAGAAGAGGATGGTGTGGCTTGTCACCCAGAGTGGAATCATAGGCCCCCACAGTGGCCAGATGATAATTATCCTACTCCAACCATGAGGAGGTGAAGGTAGAATTGAGGCTGGTACCTACTGTTTTCCAGTAGACTGGTGACAACCATATATAGTGCACAGTGCAAGAATTGCTGGAGAATTACTGGCCCCATAGCTACCATGTACCATAACCCACTGTCATAATCCAATTGTGGCCAATTTGTGCACTTCTCCAATTCCATTCAACATAATGTTCATTAAAATGAGTTAAATATACAAATTAAAGCTGGTCTGGTTTAAGACAGTAGCCTACACCTGCTGGCTCTTCCTCCAGAAGATCTGCTAACTGTTGCCAGAATCTGGCAAGCATGGCATGCCACTCAACATGTGATCACCACTCCCTGGTTGCATCCACCAGGGTATTGTCATAATACCTATATGCAGTGATCTGATTGGCATTGTGTGCAGCATTGATGTCTGGCTGACATGCCCCACTCCTAGCCATGATACTGGGGATCTGCCTTGACATTTGAACTGGTAGACATGTTTAGCTATGGTTGTGTAGGAACTTTTGGACTTATGCTCAGTTTGTGGAGTACCAACTCCCAGCTGTATGGCAAACTCCTGGGAGACTGCTAAAAGCTCCAAATGCAACAACAGGATTGGCACTGGTGATGGGGATCTAGCCAGTGGTATTGATGTAGAGCTGAATGATGCAGGAGTGTCTGAAAGGTCCATAGGTTGATGAGGACCAGGGAAATTGCCACTGGGCAATGTGAATGTTGTTGGGCTGGGAACTGGGATAGGATTGCAACAGGCTGGTGACACAGAGGGAGTTAAGGACCAAAATTGGTGCTCATGCAATAGGATGAACAGTCATGATGATTGGCCAGCTGCATGAGTTGGGTAGATGTAAGCTGACAATCTTGTGGCAGCAGGCAACTGAAATGCAGTTCTTGTAAAGGACTGACTGGTGGGGACTGGAATGGTGGGGGTGACCCCCAAGGTGGCTCATGTAATGGCATACCTGGGGCAACAGGTGATGGTGATTTGTCCCATGCTGGCTCAAGTAATGGGGTGCTGTTAGAGAGGTGTGTTGATATGGAGTCCCAAGGAGGCTCAACCAATGGGCTACTAGAGGAGGGAGATGGTGCCAATGACTCCCATGCTGGCTCTGTCAAAGGTGATCTGGGCAAACCAGAGAACTGGAAGGAGGGTTCCATTCCAGGTTGTGTGTATTGTTTGAGCCAGGGACAGCTTGAAAGGTGGCTCATGTAAATGGGATGATGGTGCATCCAGCAGGTCATCTTCAGTAAACATTTCCTCATCCTCATTGAAGAGATGCAAGCCACTGCATATCATGGTGTGATGGAATTACTGCACACAGTCATTAGAAGTAATGGTCCTTGGACTGGTTGACTTACAGAGTTTATCTGGACTGCCAGAAGCTGAATCTAACATTATCTGGGAGCCATATGAAAGCTCAAAACATTGTAGGCACCATGGGGATTACACTGATGTTTGAGAACTGATTCAAGTACCAGTGATAAGATTGTATTACACAATAATTTTTTCACCAGTCATCATACAGGATGTACAAGTGCATACATAATGGAAATGGGCACTTAGTGGAATGACTGTCGACTGCCATACATTACTCTCACCTAAAATATGTTCAATGGTTAAACCAGTACATTGACTATTGTAAATCACAGCATCACTGGAGTGAGCATTTGTATTGTGCTTATGTAAGCCTGTTGAATGGTGTATGCTAGCCAGTGAATTCACCACACTGCTCAAGCACCCACCACCTACACACCTAAGCTTTAACAGCACTATGTCTACCACCAACACCAGCACCTTCATCCCAGCACAATCAACTGACAACATCCAGCCAGTCATCACTGCTGAAAATGCCAAGTGGATGGTCGAGGAGGCTGCCAGGGTTACAATGCAGGCACTGAGAGGACTTCAGGGCTGGGATGCTAAGCACTGGGGCAAAGTGGCTCAGCTTGTGTGGGCCCAGCTAGGTAAGTGAAATTGCAGCAATGATATCCATTCCTGACATCTATGTAGGGAATGGTCTGCACAGTTGTTGAACATCTACCACCAGAATTTGAGATCCCTCTGCATCTTATTGCTATCGATATGCACATGGTTGACCTGGCAACAATCTTTGCCATGCAGATGTGGCCACCTTTCAACCAGATGATGACAGCATGACAGGCCAATGTGAAGGATCATGTGTGGTATCACCTTCATCACCAGCCTAAGTCTCACCCATATTACAAGGTCATGCAGGAGCTTACTGGGCCTTCATCGAAGGGCCAAGCACCAGGCACAGCTGGTGGATAAGGGGAAGGGGAAAGAGTTGGGTATGGATGAGGCTCAAAGGATTCAGCTTCTGGGTGAGCACTAATTCTGAGGATGGCAATTGGGTAGACCACTGATACAGGATCCTGAAGATGCACCCACAGACACTACAGCTAGGACCACTGGAGTTGTGAACCAGAAGCTGGGAAATGAGGAGGATCAGAACAGGGAGAAGGCATGGGGCCATAGCCAGTCAAGACATGGCTGGCCAGCAGCCAAGCCTGTTGATGCCAGTGATCAGACCAGTAGAGGCTGGAGCCAGTCAAAGAGACCAACGAAGAAGGTGAAACCAGCAGTCAACAAGGATGTGCAGGACCAGTGAGACATCAACAACCCTCCTGAGTCCTGGGAGGTAGTGCTGGAAGCTGAGCAGTGTGTGAGATTCTGGGACAGGAGTTGGCCCTGTATGGTGCACTAGCTGGCAGGGCATGCTGGCAATGCCACTGTACCAAATACTCATGCAGCTTGTTCAAGGGGAGGGGAGACAAGTTTGAGATGCAGCAAAAAGCCTCCTGTTCAAGGCCTCACCAGGAATGATCCCCAGAAGACATGGCTGGCCTTCCCACCACTTCAATGCTGGCTGTGCCAGCTCCATTGACCAGTTCAACGAGCCAAACATCAAAGGGCAACAAGCTGAAATCAATCTGCCAGTCCATCCAAAGTCACAAGCCATCATTTGTCTCCTGGCCCACAGACTGGCTGCCCCAGTATGCTATTCACAGTCCTATGTCTTTCGCTAATCAGTTGAACTAATATTTCTATTGAGTAGTGGAAATTATTACTCCATCATGGCTATCCTGGTCACAGTCTCATGCAAGAAGCATTGCAACAGACCCACCCATCACTCCAGCACCAACTACTACAATTGGTGCCAATGATCTGTGCCATTGTGACAAGTATCAGGAAGAGGTTACCATCCTCAAGTGGGAGAATGCTGACATGAGGCAGGAGATAGAAGTACCCATACTGAGCTTGCTGCTCTCCATCAGGTGGTAGATGCTATCTGTAATCACCTATTCCTGGCCCCAGATGTGCTTAACCATCCTCTGGTCCCATTTCAGGCTACTTCCAACCCTACACTGGTACCTCACATTCCAGTCATGGTGGAACTTGGCACTGCAAGCTGGTGTTGTAGAGGTTCAATCATCCTGAAGTGGCTCAAGACAGGAGTCCACTGAACCCCCCCCCAGCTTCATTTGAGGGAGGTGCTGGCTTGGAAGTACCTCCTTCAAATGTCAAAGCTGTGCATGGACCTGCTGGAGGTCTGGCAATCTCTATTACTGTCATAACTGTGCATTCACTCTAAGTCCTTACTCACTCCACACCCTCTTCCACCAGTCATTCACTCACTCTGCACCAACTCCACCCAACTTCTGTTGGTTACAAACCATCTCTGCTCCAATGGCTGTTGGACTTGTGTTGCTCTCCTGCCAGACTGAATGGACTGTTCTCTGAGGGGTCATGTGACTACCTTTGGACTCCTCCCTGACAGCATGTGGTCAGGTACTCCACAGCATGCACACTGCATGGTCCAGCACCTGTACTGTTTCCTTTTCTGGATGTTCTATGTTACCCATTTGTATGTCCTCCATCTACCCTTCATTCATTGTCTAGGAAGTTTTACTTGAAAATTTCTGGGTCTCTGTATGTCAGTTCTGATTCTGGTTACTGTACCTCCAAAGTAGTATAAAAAAGCATGTATCATACTCCACCATTCCTCAGTACAAATATTGACTTAGTTCCTACTCCCTCTGTCTCTGTCTTCTGTCTGTCGGAGTTACCTCCATCTGTCCATCTGTACTCCCCCTCTGAAATATGAGGGCTGAGATCATGCAAGGGGGTAGCACACATGCTAAACCTGACACCCTCACTCCACTCTGCCTTTATCTCAGTGGACTTTATTCCTGCCAACACTTCGCCAGTTGGAGTTCAGTTCTTTCTGTTGGACTTGCTTCTGAACCTCTCCCCAGACCTCATCCAGCATCAGAGTTGGTTGGAGTAGGCCTGGACTTGACAATTACTCCACCACCACCAGCAGTTGGATCAGTGCCCAGACAGGAAGGTAGGATGGAGGTTGACTAACATCAATGTACTTGTCATTTCACAATCCATTCATGTTTTTTTGTCTTTGTACTTGTACTTTGTTAGATGCCGCAATATATTCTATATTGTCAAAATGTGATCTCCAGGAAGAAGTAGCTACTGCTACTGGTAGTTGTTACTGTATGATTCAGATACTGGAAAACCAATCCGGTATGGTGATGTCTGTACCAAGGCTGTGGTGTTACAAGTGCTAAGGGCCAATGGAGTCATAGTTCACCTAGATGATTGAATGATGACTGGCCAGCATAACTCAATTGTTTTTGCTGTATAGCATGATGGTGACTTTCTTGGTATTGTTCTGGCTTGCTGGAGGCTGCAAGGCATTGAATTCACAGTTTAAATGTACTGGGTAGTTGGCTAGTCTTCTGGTCATTACCAGAGCCACCATTGTGGTAATACATACATCTCTGGCATGGTACTGGTACCAGTACATACATACACTGTGGACCTGCTCCTGGGAGGTCAGGCAGGTCTGGCATGGCATGGTATGATTTCTGGGTGGGCCTCCATTGCATTGGCACTGGGATGGTGTTCATGGCATTGGTGCCAGGACAGCTTGACTGATGGCCTCATGGCATTGGGGATGTGCCAGTGTGAGTCAAAGTGTGGTTCAGTGGTGAAAACCAACTAAAACCACACAAAAGACAAAAAGAGTGAGTGGTGGTGTGGCTATGTGGTACCTAGATGGTAGAACCTGTTCTTTGGGAGGGTTTTTGTGAGCTACAACACTCAAAGATGAGTGCTGAGGGATGGGGGTGCTCCTGACAAAGAGGGAGCAAGAATGTGATAGAAAGCGATAGGGTAGACTGCTGTCAGCCTACAGAAGGATGGATGATGACTTAATTTGATGCTCTGAGCTGCACTGAGCTCAGGGAGGGCTTGGAGCAAAGAATATTGATGATAGACAGGGATAAGCAAAGTAGATGATAGTTAGACCCTTAATAAAGTCTCAACTATTGGAGCTGCTGAATGAATTACTGAGTGATGATAAAATGTGAGCAAGAGGGGCTCTCTGATGTCTTCTTCCTTTTGCTATCTAAGCACAGTGATTTATATACAGTACAGGGGTGTTGCCCATGGAAAACAAGGTGCAAAGACTTGGTAAGCGATTGGTAACTGATGAGTAAGGAATGTAAGCAATGGGTAATCATCTTGGAAAGCATTGGTAAGCATTGGTAAGCATTAGCAAGCCAAAAGGCAAAGGATCAGTAAGCAAAGTCAAAAGATTGGTAAGTATTGGCAATAGGTGAGTCAAAGACAGTCAAAACATCAGAGTATGAGTCAAGTAATGTCAGGAACTGGGAAAGCACATTGGAATTGCATTAGGGGGAGGCTGTGCATGTCACATCTTGAAGAGATCACTTCTAGGCCAAGGTGGGATGACAGAGAGGCAGTGCTGATCTGATGCCAATATAGTTCATCCAAAAGTGGACAGGGTGAGTCAGATGTCAACAGGGGTCAAGCTTTGGGGGTCTGTGGGGTGACAGGAGCATAGGGGATCACAACTTTCCCCCCCAAACCATCCTCTCAGTGAAGCAAACAAAAACTTCATGAATGAGGCTCTGTTGGAAGAGAGGATGAAGGGGGAGTGTCTTCTGCTGCACCTTGCAATAAGGAGGCAAGATGTGCATCATACTTGTCATGGATGCAATCAGGGAGAGTGGACAACAGTAGATTATACTGTAGCTATCACAATCTTGGAATAATGATAGGATAAGACTGGTATGAAGACAGTTGCAGGGAGCAGGGAGGAAGGATCCATATGCTTCTTGGACTGGAGAGACTGAAACAACCACATAAGACCTTTCCAAGTGAATGACAGACCTGAGGCAACCAAAGAACATTCCTCCTAGAGGTCATACCAACAAAAAGAACACACTGTCCAAGCTGGATGGGCTGAGAGGGCACTGATGAGGGTGGGATGTACCAGGATGCTTCAGGATGGAAGCTGGTAGGAACTCCTGGTAGATATATGTAGCCATGGTCCCTAGCAAAGGGGACAAGCGAAATGATTGATGTGGAGGTGGCCATATCAGAAGAATTAGCGAAATGAGCATCTTTTGGAGGGAGTGCTGTAGCAATGTGTGGAGTGTGCAAATCCTTCCCAATTTTGGAGGGTAGGATCATGTGGCTGAGCACTACAAGTGAGTGTGGGAATGGTCTTGGTATCTGCAGAGACAGCAGAGATATGTTGAAAACCAGAATGCCATACATGGGCACTTAAGAATTATAACCAGTGCTTAACTTGCTCCCTTTCTTTTTCTTTGGCACTGATGACTCATTCTTGTGTGAGGGATGACTGCTGAACATTTCTGGCTGTCCTTCTTCACATGAGGGCTATGGTCTTCATCTCCATTCATTAGCTGTATCCATGTCCACCTCACCAAACACCTTTGGTGTGTGACACCATGCACTTCATTACACAGGTGCCAGGATGGCCTGCATGATGGACCTGTGGCATTGGAGATATGCTGGAATACACAGAACTGGTGCCAGGCCAGCCTCCATGGCATTGGTCCAGTACTGGTACACATTACAATGGTGCCAGAATGGCCTGCATGATAGGCCTCATGGTATTGGGGATGTGCTGGAATACATGGCATAGGTTCCAGGATGGCTTCCATGGCATTGGTTTTGTGCTGGAACACATTCCAGTGGTGCTGGGATGGCCTGCATGATGGCCCCATGGCATTGGGGATGTGCTGGAACACATGGACCTGGTGCTGGTGCTGGCTGCACAATACATTGGTGCCAGGACATCTTCCATGATGGCCCCATGGCAGTGGCAATGTGCCAGAGCATGTGGCATTGGTGCCAGCATGGCTTCCATGGCATTAGCATTGTGCCAGTTCACATTGAATCAGTGCTGGCTGGGATGGCTTCCATGGCATTAGTCCTGGGTTGGTGTTGGCCTAGCTCACATTGCATTGGTGCTGGGACACCTTGAATGGCATTGGTATTGGGTCTGCCCATGTGGAATCGAATGCCAGGATAGCCAGCATGGCATTGGTGTTGTGCTGGCCTGCATGGCATTGGTATTAGGGCCTGTTCATATTGCATTGGTGTTGGCCCTGGCTCACATGGCATTCATCCCAGGATGGCCTGCATGGCATTGGGGTAGGGCTGGCCCACATGGCAGTGTTGCTGGGATGGCTAGCATGGCATTGGTGTTGGGCTGGCTTGCATGACAGTGTTGCCAGGGGTGAACTCAGGGGCTGAGCCCATCCATACCTTCTGGGGACACCCAACTCTGGGCTTACCTGGGACTACTCATATTGCAGTGGCTACGCCCTAATCCCACAGCTGGCTTGTACCCCATGATGACAATTCTAACCTCTGCCCAGCCATTCTCCATAATGACTCCTACTCTTGGGCTCAGCTGTATGCTATGGTGACACATTTATTGGGATCTCCCATAGTCCATGATGACACTTACTCCCCAGCCTGCTTGTAACTGACAATGACAATTCAAACCACAGCTGCACCATTCCTCATGACAACATTTCCTCTCAGGCTCAGCTGTACTACATGGTGACACTCATCAGTTGGGCTCTCCCATACTACAAGGATGACAATAGGTTCATGGCTCTCATGTAACACACATGCACAAGCCATACATGGGCTCAACCTCTGCTGGCCCATCACCAATGGCTGATTGTCAGCCTCCACTGACCGTCTCATATGGCCTAACCAGGTGCATGGGCTCCTTTACCACTGTCATTGTCAGTGTCTGTCTCATCATCCTCTTCACTCCTTTTGCCATCTGATTTGCTTCCTCTGTCCACATTCCTTCTCCCTTCCCTTGCCATCCCTTCTGGTACATCTTGTTCTGTTTCCATGCTTTGTAGTCATGCCAGGTATTCTTGTTGATCTGCATGTAGTTGTGTTCCTTCTCTTGCTATGAATGTGCATAGTCTTTGTGCACTGAACTCCGCCAGGACCAGTCTGCCCATTAGAGTTTCTAACCTGTGTGAGTTTCTTAGTCATTCAGTGATTCTGTATGGGTGCAACCACTTAGGTAATAGCTTCCATTTGGTCTTGAAGGTATA